CAATGCCGGCCCACCAGTAGGAGATGTATGATAGATGATTGTCTTTGTGATATCATCTAGGTTTGCTACTACTTGATATGTTATATGCTAGCATGATATGTTGTATGTGACAGTAGTAGAGTTCGGTTGTTAGGACCGAAGGGCAGTCAGACACCCCAGATACGTCTGACAGTTTGTGATGCTATGTTTGCATGCTGGCTTGTTATGTTATATGCGATAGAGGTAGTAGGAGGGGAATAGTCCCCAAGGTTCGGTCGTTAGGACTGAAGGGTAGTCAGCACCCCAGAATGGCTTGACATGGGTAGTCAGCACCCCAGAATGGCTTGACACGGGTAGGTCGGCACCCCATAATGGTCGTACCGGGTAGGTCGGGCACCCCAGAAATGCCTGGAAATATGTATGATATGTGATTGTATGGTATGTGGTATGATGGGGGAACTCACTAAGCTTCGTGCTTACAGTTTTCAGTTTTGGTTTCAGGTACCTCTTCTTCGAAGGGAAAGGAGTGCGCGCGGTAGCAACACATCACACACACGCTTTGTATTCCGCATTATGAGATCTTCCTGGGGATTTGTACTCTGACTTTATTATGTTTTTATAAACTTGTTTCCAGACACGTACATCTTTTATGAAATGTTATGATTGGTGAATGTTTTATTATAATGTTTTGCTAAGTATGTGTATTTAAAAATGAAATTTTGGCTCGTATTTTTGGGGTGTTACAACAACACTTACGCATGTATTCTATTTGATAGTGGGGTTAAGCGAAGTTTATTGAGTCAAAAATTTTAACACCTATTAAATCAGCAACCCCAAAAGCTAAGCGAAGCTTTCATGGTGGAGATGGCTAATGGGAAGACTGAAACAACAAAAGATATTTGCATAGGGTGAACTCTAATGCTAAATAATCACTCATTTCAAATCAACATGATGCCAGTAAATATTAGAAGTTTTGATGTGATCATAGGCATGGATTGGTTAAGCCCCCACCATGCTGATACTATGTGCCACGACAAGGCCGTTCGCCTTCACCTACCCACCAACGAAACCCTAATCATATACGACGATAAACCTGGTGCAAATCTTCGTCTTATTTCCTGCATCAAGGCATAAAAATGTCTGCATAAGAAGAATCATGCCTTTTCGCTCATATTGTGGATAAGAAAATAGAGGAAAAGAACATCAGTGATATTCCCGATGTGCGAGAATTTTCCGACGTATTTCCAGAAGATATTCCAGGAATACCTCCTGAGCGGCTGGCCGAATTCCGAATTGACCTTATACCGTGAGCCGCACCAATATCCAAGTCACCCTACAGGTTATCTCCCACTGAAATGCAGGAGTTATCAATTCAATTAAGCGAACTTTTGGAAAAAGGGATTCATAACGCCATGTTGCTCACCCTGGGGAGATCCGATCTTGTTTGTTAAAAAGAAGGACAGATCCTTCATAATGTGCATCGACTATCTGGATTTGAAGAAGCTCACCATCAAGAATCGATACCCACTCCCTTGGATTAATGGTCTATTCGACCAGCTTCAAGGAGCTAGTTACTTTTCCAAAATAGTTCGAAGGTCCGAATATCATCAGCTGCGAGTCCGAGAAGATGATATTCCCAAAACTGCTTTTTGAACTTGATACGGTCACTATGAGTTCGTTGTTATTCCCTTCGGACTAAGGAATGCTCCTGCAACAATTATGGACCTCATGGACCAAGTTTTCCGCCCATTCCTTGATAACATTTTAATTGTTTTCATCGAGACATACGCGTTTACTCTCGGAACAAGGAAGAACACGGTCAACAGCTACGACAGGTTTTAGAAACATTAAGGGCGGAGAAATTATATGCAAAATTCTCCAAATGCGAGTTTTAGATTCGCAGTGTGAATTTCTTGGGACAAGTAGTCAGTGCAGAAGGGATACATGTAGATCCTTCCAAGATGAAAGCTATTGAGGGCTGGGCAACCCCTAAAATGCTAACGAAGATCAGACAAATCTTGGGCCTTGGTGGTTATTATAGAAGGTTCATTCATAATTTCTCAAAGATCGCCAAGCCTCTCACCACTCTAACCGAAAAAGGCATACCCTTCAACTGGACTAACAAACAAGAAGCTGATTTTCAAACCCTGAAGCGAGCCCTCTATAGTTCTCCAGTATTATCTTTATATGACGGATTGGAAGATTTTGTATTGTATTGTGACGCTTCAAATCAAGGGTTAGGTTGTGTTCGTATGCAACATGGAGAAGTGATAGCTTACGCGTCCAGGCAATTGAAGACTCATGAAGTAAACTATAGCACTCATGATCTCGAACTGGGAGCTGTGGTCTTCGCCCAAAAATTTTGGAGGCACTACCTTTATGGAACAAAGTGCACCATCTTCACGGACCACAAAAGCCTCCAGCACATCTTGAATCAAAAATAGGTAAACATGAGGCAGCGACAATGGGTAGAGCTGCTAAACGATTACGAATGTGATATAAAGTATCATCCAAGTGAAGTCAATGTGGTGGCTGACGTCTATCTAAAACAGAGTTGTCATCGAAACAAAGAAGACGACTTATTATTTATACGATAAAAGCGGAGACCCTAAGGAATTCTGAATACAGAAGGAATGTGTATTGATCACACAGTCTCCTGCTCTGATACCAATTGTGAGAACGTAGTTCTTTCAGGATCAATTGATTCTAAACATGCAAACAAATAAGAACGTAAATATAAACACGAATATGTTGAATGATTAATGCTTCAACACCTTAGAAGAGCTCGACTAAGAACTTCGACTGTAGAGGTGTTTTAGGGTTACAAAACTTAAGCGTAATTAAAAGACGTCCTAATATAATGCACACATGCATTCATATATATAGTCTAACCCTATGAGAGAATCACAGATGGACAGACCCAATCCGAATACAATACAAAAAACCTAAGATGCAACATAATAAGCCCAAACTTTTTTTTTTTTTTTTTTTTTTTACAAAATAACACTTTTGTCCTAAATGTTTAAGTTTCTTACTTAATTCCTAAACTAGATTTCATTTAGCTAAAATTTTGAATTATTTCTATATAAAACCTAAAGTTAATCCTTACATTTTGACCCAAACGTAGTTAAATCAAGCTCAAACTTAGGTTTTTAAATTAGTAAATTTGGTCCCTTAAACATAAAATATTTAGTTTCACCAAAGTTAACTTTCTATTTAATCTTAAACTTGTAAATCTATTAATTTGTTTCTTTTTTATATTTATTTGTTTATATTTTATCAAATTCTATTTGTTTATTATATAAAACCAATCTAACTTAAAAGACTAAAACTTCTAACTCCAAAAGAGTGGTAATACCATTCATACTTAGGTGTTGTTTGTTTTTTCTGAATCAAAATGTCTGCAGTCTGCGGATCATATCTGTAGACCTTTGCAGTAGAAGAGGTGAATCAAACGTCTACAGTCTGAAAAAAAAATGTTTGTTTTTTTTTTTAACATCTGCGGGTTTCTAAAATAAACTGAAATCTAAATAAACTGATTTTTTTAAACTTCAAAGTGATTTTTTAATATTTTTATGACTTTGCTATAAATAATTAACGAATCTATATCAACTTTTATATATTATTGTTTAAAAAATAAAAATAAAAATGATATAAATTAACGTATATATTTGATAAAAACCAACAACTTTGGTTGCAAGGTTATAACTAAACATTATAATTAGTGATCAAAGAATTTGATATATAAATGGATAGAAATAAACTTTGATTTTTTCAATTAAATCCATTAAAAACGTACCATAAATATTTTCTCAAGAAATTGACGATACTGTATTAAATAATATTTTACAAAATTTGGCAAAACAATTTAAGAAGATATTATGTTTTTTTTTTCATATTTATATAAACAACTCCAACGACTAGTATTGAATTAAATCTTTATTTATAAATTTGTCAAAAATATCATGTTTGTATCGTCGAACATTTTTTTTTAAGTTTTATATTTTTTTTTTCAAATTGTTTATCATTAATAAAGTTGGAAAAAAAAATATAAAAAAAACTTGAAAAAAATAAAGATATATATGTTTTTTAGGCTACAAATGTCTGAATATGTTAGAAGACTTTGATCTACATCTGCGCCAAAAAGAAGGTGCGCAGACATTTTTAGGTCTACAGACTTCAAAAAAACAAACAGACTGCGAATACTAATGTATGCGCGTGGTCTGCGCACCGCAGACAGAAGAGGTCACGCAGATCTGCAGATAAAAAACAAATATTACCTTAGTGAACTTTCGCCTTTTGTGCTACATCAAACATTTCGATTCATTAAATACAGTCTAATTTTTTTTTTAATTAATTTTAATCTTTCTTTCACCTTACGCAATTCCCAAATCCACCAAGTTGTCAATTTTTCAAGCCTTTTTTTTTCCTTTACAAGCTCTTTGATTAGTTTGATATTCCACATCTCATAATTTCAATTTACTCTTAAGAAATTATATCTTATTATTTTCAACCTCTTCCATGCCACCTCTCCATGAACTTATAACACTATCCCCAAACCTTTTTAATGAAAACTATGCTCGAAGGATCTTAAAAACGATTCTACAGAGTGATTGAGGTGTGAAATTACACAGAATAAGTCTATGGTTCAAACCTTAATATGCCCAAAAGATTAGTATTGTTTTCCGATAAACCTTAATAAGTCCGATAAACCTTAATAAGTCTATGATTGACCTTCTACATGACCTTCAAATGGATTAATATATGCAACTTAGACAATGTAGATTGTCATTTTTGAAAGGGACAAGACCATAGTCGGCCACCAAGTCTTTAAGCTAATATGTATTATACACCGATCATTTATGATCGATAATTAAAGCCATATAAATAGGAGACAAATCAATTACACCTTCTAAAAGCAAAAAGTTATCAATCTTCCACATATTTATGCCCCGTTTAATATACCACATGTAAGAACATCGACAAAACCCGCTTCTTCAATAAAGGAATTAAAATGAGTTGCATTAGTGTGACAATATCCAAAACCATACATCTTCATATCATCTCCAACAACATTGATGTCTCCAAAGAAGATCCAAAAAAATTTCTTGAGCATATTCTATTGTTTTTAATTTTTAATTGAAGATTAAAACACGAATTTATTAATTAAAAGAAAGAAAAAGAAAAATAAAAATAAAAAGAAAATACAACACAATATATATATACATTATTTTCCTTGTAAACTGAAATAACCAAAATCTGTTGTATCCATTTTCAACATAGAAATAGACAAACCAAAAGCTAAAAAGCCACCTAAAATACAATTACTTCTCCAAATTATCTGGGGTTAGTGATAAAATTACCAAATCACCCCTCTAAAATCCCTAGGTGTTTACCAATAATCCCCATCCGGGTCTTCGGGTTCGGGTTTTAAATTCAAATCGGGTTTTTCCTGAAACCAACAAGCCTTCAATTCACTAGTGGATGCATGATGATGCTCAAGCGTACCACTCGTATGCAACGACGTACAACTCGTTTCTGCATCCACTCTCGCTCCAACCTCAATCGCTTTTTTCCTAATAGAGGCGGCGGACAACTCGTCGGGACCACCGTCGGAAGCCAACAATTCCGGGAAATTGAGCCGCGCGGAGGGGCCACGGAGGTAGTACACGGCGGTATCGTAAGCTCTCGCCGCCGCAACCGGCGTCGAGTACGACCCGAGCCAAATCCTCGAACGTTTATTCGGCTCCCTAATCTCAGCCACCCACTTCCCCCACTTCCTCATCCGTATCCCTTTGTAAGGCCTCTGATCGGTTTTTCTTTTCCCCGTTTTCGATGAATAATTACATGAACTACCAACGTTTAATTCACCACCACCGCCGCCGCCGCCGCCTACTCCGACTCCGACTCCGGCTCTTCTCTCTTCCATCGATCTAGAATCTATTGTCAATCGGGGAACAGAATAGAGAAAAAGAATCAAAAACAGAGGTAGGATGTCATCTGGAATTTATTTCTATAGAATCGAAATCGGCAAAACCTGCACACAAAAAGATAATCCACAGGCACCGACACCTTTATTTTTCCTCAAATTCTGTTTCTCTCTCTATATATAAGCTTGGTGTCTGTGTGTATATAGATATAGAGAGATAGACATGGAAAACTGAAAAGGGTTTAATTGGCAGCCATTAATCAGAGGTCGAGGTAGAGGAGATGCTTTTATGGAGTTGGTGATTATCGTTTTCTTTGTGGTTTAATTCGAGTTTTAGATCGATTGAGTCGTAGAATGGGAAATATATATTATTTTATTAATATTATTATTATTATTATAAACTAATATATTTTTTAATATTTTAGTATTAATGTACTAAATTAAGATTTTTAATACAGCTTTGATATTGTTATATTCTAATGATTTAAGAAAAGAATAAAAGAAATGTTTGAGAGTATACTTGTTGTTGTGAATGAATAAAAAATTATTAATATGACAGAAAATAATTAGAGTGGGATAAGATATTCTAATAAAATGTAATATATGTGATAGTTTCTTTTCATGCATTTTTGTTGTTTGAAATTATAATAATTATATAAACATTTTCGAAACATATACCCAATCATTCTTCAATGATTAGCTTTCTTTAAACATTATTTTATATATTTTATTAAAACTGTTCAGAACGGTTTAACATTTTGTTTGGTGAAACTGGAATGCCATCTATTCAGCATCATAAGGTGAGAGCCCCTACTCGACGCAATACTACTCTCTTTCACTTCTCAATCTCTTCTTACTTATTGAGTAGCTTCTTCTTTTCTTCCTAACTCAAAAAAACATTGTTCTAACTTAGGTGAATGTGATACAATTCCTCTTAACCTAGGAATGTCAACGGGGGCAAACAGGGCGGGGAGTGCATCTCCCGCCCCCGCCCCCAGAATGTTCAATGTTCCTACCCCGTCCCCGCCCCCGAATCACATTTATTACCCCCGCCCCCGCCCCCGTTCCCCCACCCCCGATTGATTTTGGACTACTTTTTTTTTGGCTAAAAGAAGTTGTTATTTAGGCTAAAATAAATTATTTTTTAGGTAACAAATAATTATTTATAGCAGAATTTTATATGTTAAAAATAAAAAAGTTATGGCATTTTAAAAAATTATAGTAACAACATAAACACATGTTTTTTGATGAATTTTGGAAGCTCAAAATCATGTTATTTTTTATTATATTTATATAATTAATATATGTAAATATATGTGTAATTTATTAACGGGGTCCCATGGGGATTTCGGGACGGGATTGCCTACCCCCGCCCCCGCCTCCGAAATTAAAACGGGGGTTAACCTTGCCCCCGCCCCCGTCTCCACCCCTGATTTTTTTTTAAAAAAAAATCCCCCAAACGGGACGGAACCCCCACGGGAACGGGGTTCCACGGGACTTTTTGACATCCCTATCTTAACCTAAGATATAGCTCAATAAACCAGCTTATAATGTAACTTTTATTTTATAATTTAGTTTAACATAACTAACTTATAAGTTATTTTTATGATCTTAAGTTATATATATATATATATATATATATATATATATATATATATATATATATATATATATATATATATATGATACTATTATGATTATTTAAGATTAGGTATGAGCCCCATGTATTACATGGGTCTATTTAAAACAATTAAATATGTATAAACATTTAAAAAATTTTAATTTATAAGAAAAATATTGAATTACTAAAATTAAAGTGTTTTTTTTTCTCTTTTAAATTTAAACAAATCATTTAGATAAAATAATCAAAGCAAATTAATTAGATTCTATTTTAAAATTTTGAAGTTATAAAGAAAATCCATTAATAAAATTGATATTTATTTATTATTAAATTTTAATACCATATGGATTATAATAAAATAGGAAAACCACAAAATTACATATGGAATAAAAACTAATTCAAAATACCACAAAATAACATATGGCAAAATGAATGAGAGTGTGATAAGTAGATAAAAAAACCTTGATAGGGTTTGAGAAGATTAAAACAAATAGACATTATATTTAGGTATGACAAAATAAGCTCTCTCTCTCTCTCTCTCTCTCTATATATATATATATATATATATATATATATATATATATATATATATATATATATATAATTTTGTCATACATAAATATAATTGTTTATTTGTTTTAATCTTAAATAATCATTGTATCATACGTTTAGAATAAGTTATTGAACTTGATGAAGGTAAAAACAATATATATTAAAGATGGCAATGGTTAAAAAATATATAAATACATGTAGTACAAGAGTGCATGGCATGTATCAATCCATGGATGTCAGCCCTAGGGATTAAGCAGTATTGTATAATTGGAAATTTGAGCAAACTATTAAAATATTATTCATAGAAAAACATTACAAAATGATTACAAGTTGAGAGGACAAGTTTGTAATTTACTCATCAATTCCAAATTAACTAGTACTCTTAATATTCCCAAAATAGAACCTAGGACTTTAGAAACATGAACGTTTTTGTTTAGTATTTCCAGTTACGTTCATTTTTTATTTTTTTTGTAAATTAAAATCGATATGATAATACATCTTAAAGTTTTGAAATAACATTGTTGTACTTCACAATAATATAATATATATATTGCATATACGGAAAAAATTTAACGTATACAATGTTAATTAGTGAAACATAATGGGCTTTTACATATGCGATGATATCGAAGATTGTTGTTAACTAGAATACTTAATTACTTATTTTCTTTAAGTTTTGTTAATCAATATTATATAGCAATTAATAGAAAAGAAGAATTCTACTTACTCTTTGATAAAATAGGGAGGGAGAGCCTAGGGGAATTCAATATTGAAGAAAAGGCAGTTGTCACTTATTGAGTGGCATTGACGGAGAAAACTTTCCCCAATTTTTGTATATATTCATTCCCTCGAGATAATGATAAATAACTATGACAAAAATTGAACTCCCAAATCTTATAAGATTTTACGATCTATATTATATAATTTTAGTAAAAATTACAAATTTAATTAAAAACACTAATTACTTTACAAATTTAGCCAAAAAAAAAAATCGAAGTTGCAAAAATAACACTGAATACAAGTACTTAATACACAGTTGTGCTTTAGGTATTTGTACCTTTGCAGATGGACTAGTCCATCTGTGATTTCCCTTTTTCATCTGCGATTTTCTATTTTTTAGTATAAAAACGTTTTTTTTCCTTTATTTTTCACTCTTCATTTTAGAGAAACTCTCTCTAGGCCATTCTCTTACGAGTTCTCTTCATTTTTCATTCTTCATTTTTCAATAAGGTTAATTTCGTAGTCAAACTTATTGATTTCGTAGTGAAACCTATGGATTTCATAGTTAAAATAAAATAAAATAAAATAAAATAAAAACATATAAAGGGAGAGGAAATCACAGATGGACACTGTCCATATGCGATTTTAGTATGATTCTTCCTTATATATACATGGAAAAAAAAAACATTTGCGAATGTACAAGTAACTAAAGCACGTTTGTGCTTTAGCCACTTATATATTCACAGATAGGATAGACAAATCGTAGATGGACCATTTTTATCTGCGATTTTGGTGGGTAAATTTGCAACTTAAAATTTTTTTGATTATTTTCTACAAAGTAATTAGCTAATTTGGTTATTTTTGTAATTTTCTCAAAATTTTATGATTAAAAAATTATAACATTTTACTTAGTAATATTTTTAAAAATAAATTACAGTTTTGGTTTACTTGAGTTAGTTATCGTTAAATACGTATGAACCGATTAAAAATTCTTTTTTACTTTTTTTTGTTAGAATTATCATTATTAAACATATTCTTGATATTTTCACTTGTATACCACCAACACCAACACCACCATATACCATATTTTTTCTACCATACACCATCACAATCACCATAATCATTTTTCACCATGGTCGCATACCACCTACACTACACATCTTTTTTAACCAAATGTAACTCAAAATTATATTAAGCTAGCAAGAACCTAAATTAAAATGGACCAAAACCTATAAACAAAACCACTAAAAATCGATTTCAACCCTATACAAGGATGAATCACAAAACAAGAAGAATAATTGACATAGTTCCTATGTTTTTAAATTAATTAATTCAAATTAAAATAACTGGTTTCCACTATTATCACATGCAAATCGAAGATCATCATAATTTAATTTTTTTCCTATTATAAAATTGGATCAAACTTATTCAAAAGAATTTAAATCTCTAAGAACTCTAATCTTAGCTTCCTCAATTTCAAGTTCTTAATACCATCAATTTTGTTGATTTCTTTAATAAGGATGAATCATAAAACAAGAAAAATAACTAATATATTTCCTTCTCAATTTTCATTCACAATAAGACATTTTCTTGAGTTGGACTTAAAAACTAAGTTCTTGGATGCCTTTCTTGACATTATAGTTGGGTTTGAAACTCTGATTACTTGAATAATGTGATGGTTTTGAGCAAAACATACAATCCTATGTGCGCATGCAACCATAATTGAAGATATGCGTTTTCTCTAATTGAACATACAATAATAAACAACAAAGTATAAACCCTAGATCTATGGATAATAATCGAAAATCACATAAGAAGGGTTATTATTCATAACTTTAAGATTGTTATTGTAAACAATCTTGAATCTGTAATGACCCAATATTCAAGGTCAAAATTTTCATTTTTGAATTAACGTATTTAACAAACATTTTACCAAAACATTGTCAATAAAACATCCATTACAAATCATAATGTTGTATTTCAAACCATAACATCATAAGTATTGAAAATCAGAGTACAGTGCCAAAAAAAAACTTCTTGCGGAAACATGAGTATGTGTGTGTGTGTGATGCGCTGCTACACCGCCGACTCTTTCCCCTTCGACGAAGAGGTACCTGAAACCAAAACCAAAACTGTAAGCACAAAGCTTAGTGAGTTCCCCCATCATATTCAATATTATCGGTATCTTTCAACCGGTAACCTTCATCGGTATCTTTCAACCGGTAACCTTCATCGGTATCTTTTAATCGGTAGCCATCATCGGTATCTTTTAATCGGTAGCCATCATCGGTATCTTTCAACCGGTAACCAACATCGGTAGCTTTCAACCGGTAACTGGGGACTATTTCACCCCTACTACTAGCATACAATCAACATATATAAGCATACAGTCAGGCATATCCGGGTACTGACCTACCCTTGGGTCCTAAGGACCACTGTCAGGGAAACTAATCCCTACCAGACACATAACACACTACTCAGATAAACCTCATAACCAACACATAACCAGACCAAGATAATTATCACAAAGATCATTATCTTCTAAATACCCCTTTTTGGTGGGCCGACATTGTGGCCTTAGACCCACCCTTACTGGAAGGTAACTCACCTCAATGTCGTGCAGTGTCTGAACTATCCTCGGCGCACAAGTCGACTCCCTAAGACTCCTCGATCCCTACACGACAACCTTCAAGTCAACACACATCACATACAACCCTAAACAGGGTTAGTCCAAGTTCAGTCAAAGTCAACATTGGTCAAAGTCAACATTCAGTTGACCTGACTCGCCGAGTT